TCTCCATCGCGTCTTCGTCCTCGCCAATGTAGTCGAGCGCCATCTGAAACACCATTCGCGCTTTTTCGAGGTCGCCGCGATCCTCTTCGAATTTTGCCCATCGAATCCATTGCTTGGAGGTCGGATGGCAGGTGACAGCACGCTCCCATATGGAGCTGGCTCGGTCGAGCTCGCCGTATCGCGTTTCGAGTTTGATATAGGCAGCCCAGGCCTTTTCTTCGGGCTCCCACTTCATCCATCGCTCAAACACCTGCCTTGTCCCCGAAACGTTGCCAAGAAGCTCCTCCAGATGCACGTACTTGTACCATAGTTGGTCGATCCTCGGCAGAATACTTACCGCCCGATCATAGAGATTTCTTGCATGCTGAACGTTCCTCATCTTCAACTCCTGCTCGGTGTATCGCAGCCACAGTGGAAGATGATGTGGATTGAAATCCAAAGCTCTCTCGTATACAGATCTACATCGATCCATTTCACCTTGGCTTGCTTCCCAAGTGGCGTACTTGATCCACATGGACATGTTGGAACGCGCCCGACGCAAACGATCCTCGAATTCGGTTCGACGCCGACCACGATGTTCTTCGAGCTCTTCATAATCTTCGATTCTCTGTACAGGAGCGACGGCAGGGGCTTCTTGACGTTCCTGGGCCTCGCGAAGGAGTTGCTCAGCGGAGATTTGGATTGGGGCGGGGGCCCTGTTTTTGATCTTTGGCGCAGTGCGTGACATTGTTGCAACAAAAGTAATGGCTTTTGGTGATGGGTATGACGGATGGGGTATGTGGTGTTGAATCTCGTCAGAATCCCATTGCTAATCGGGCAAAGGTGATGGTATTGGACAGAGGCAAGCATAGAAGATCCTAGGGACATCAAAAGTGTGGTATTCGTGATTCGGTTGGTCGAGGCCGAAATCCGAGCTTGAACACAAGTCATGCTTTCTCAGCCTAGTCATTTAGCGCCAAATGTGAACAATTTTCAGGCGTAACAAATTCTGTTTTTTTTTGGCATGACCCCGTGTAACTCAAAGCCGCTTTCAACGAGGGCCATTCGGCACATATCTCGATGATGGGGGCACAGTGTGAGACTTCTCGAAACGTGATTCCTCGCCGGTTGTGGGCAGGCGATAGGACGCTTTGTTTCGCTCACAACTTGGGCGTCATCACAGACTGGGACTGGGGAAACAGCCCTCAGACTCATGTTGAACCAATTGATCAATGCGAAAAAGGATGAATTGCCAAGTCAGCACCGACAACATATTGTATGCGGATAGTGGACGAGCACAAATGAGCCAAGAAGGTCCATGGACCATTGTGAGACAGATGAGTCTCATAGACCAGGGCAAAGAGATGAGAGCACCAATGTCCAGCTGTGGTATCAGGGCAAGAGTTGGCAGGAGTCCCTGGCCGTGGAGAACGGAAAGAAGCCGCATCAAAGTCGCAAGGAGAGTCGGAGGTTTGTGGATAGAGGGTGAGTTATCTAAAATTACTGTATTGATCTGCGCGAGATTGGCCGCCGGTCAGAGGAGCCCGGCAGTGCGTCCAAAGCGTGCGACAGCGGCCTGGACCCCAATGCCGAGGATCAGAAGTCGTCACATCGCCCAGACTCGGATGCGGTATGCTGCACGCTATTGCAAGCTAATGTCGTGACCTGCGGTGGCGGGCACTAGTCTGTTGTCTCTGTTGTTTGTGCGCGCTTCTACAGTAGATTGAGCTGTACTTCGTGATGACGAACGTCGTCTAGACATTCGCTCAAGACTAGGCAAGCCAAAATAAACGCTAACCCTCGACCCATAAGACAGGCCGTGATTAGGGCTCGAGGGTGGCGCTCGGTCGCTCCCATTCAAAAGCGATTCGCGGACAAGCACGATCTTATGAGTCGAAAGGCTGCTTGTGAGTGGTTGTTTGGTCTCAGAAATGTGGCTAAGTTTCACAGACAGCAAAACCAAGTGACGAACCGACCTTTTGACCGCTTGAATCGTTGCGCAAGCATGACAAGCGCAGCACCCGGTGGATCTGAAGGTTCAATCGCTCGCAGCTTGATATTAAGATTGAGTGGGCATCGTCGTAGAATTCTCAGCATGTTATTTAACTGCACTGTACTGTAAATTACTGTGAAGTCGTCTGCTTGGTCTATGGGGTCTCGAAATAAGGCCAAGCTCAATGACAATATTACGGTACCGCTCCGACTGGTGTGAGTAAATTCGGACCCTTTTTTTGGGGTTTGGAAAGTGGCGAGAAGGCGCGAGGCTGCAGACGTAATCTACTGTCCTTTACCGCACTGTAACTTGTTTTCGACTTCGCAAAAAGCACGCCAGCTACAGTAAATCTACTTTACGGTACAACCGAACTGAGCCGTTTCTCCCCTGACAACTCTGACGAATGAAGGCTCATCCGAAAAGAAGAAAACCCTCCGCCCAGCATGTGAGCGACCCGGCTGGCTTGGCTGTGGCCCTTTTTGATGCTGTCACATCGACACCGCGCCATTTGCCCACCGTCCGCTGCCTTTCTCCACCTCCTCTCCACACACTCGGCAGAATGAATCTGCTGGTCATGCTTTGACTTGCTCTACAACCTCTCGCTAGCCCCTTGGCCCTTGACAACGTGCACTCTCACTCCGTGACATGCTTCCGCATCCTTTTCACCACCTTGGCCTGGCAACCCTAAGATGAGCGCCCAATAACCACACCTGTTTAAGTCTCCGTCCGACCCACCCTTCCTCCGCTCACCCCTGAATCGTTTCATATCAGCTACTGCTTCCGTCACACCACTGTCGAGCCATTTCGTTCCCACCTGCGCTATTGCTCCGACCGCTTAACAGCTGCTCATATAGCCGTCTGCCGTCTGACCAGAGCTGGCGTTGCCAAAGACGTTTCCCTCATCTTGATCATCGTTGAGTAACACTCTCTGCGTCCAATCACACCATGACGGCAACAACCACAGCATCGACAACAACACCCAGCTATTTGTCTCACCGTTTCAGCAACTCGATGCTTTCCGCTTCACGTCTGGGCCAGTCATCACAATCCTACACCTACCTTTCCACCTCGGCCTCATCAAATCTGCGAGACAACGCAACACCAAGCAATGCCGTCACCATGTCCTCCCTCCATGCACATCAGCCCACCGACTATGCATCGCCGCTACCTTCACCTTCCCGGCGGTCCAGCCGCGGCGACGCTTCCATCCACCTTTCTGCGACCACAGTCAAGTACGCCTGTGCCTCCTGCATCCGAGGCCACCGTACCTCTACCTGCACGCATAAGGATGGCTCCAAAGGTCCTCTCTATCCCATTCGCAGCAAAGGCAGACCACCAACCCAATGCGAGATCTGCCGTCAAAGGCGCAAGGAGAGCGGAAGGCATGTCCGTTGCGACTGCTCCGGCAAGAAGCCTTCTACAGCATCATGCGCCACTACTAGCGCCGCTTCGCAACCGATCAACAAGGTCTCACCTGCATTCTCAACTGCTCCGGTCCCGATTATGCCCGCGGGCGCCACTTCACTCAACGAGACAATCGATCGTCTTGATCATCCTCGTCCGACCAAGAAGTTAAAAACCCAACAAGAGCCAAGGTCGAAAGAGTCCGCACTTTCCACCCCGGAACGCAGGTTTAGTGATGCCGAGTCCATCGATCAAGCACCTTCTGCTTTCGATAATGTGCTTGCTCCCATTCGAACATCGCGTAATCATCATTCTTGGAGCCTGCCTAGCATCCACTGTGCGCGTCGCTCGTCCCAAAGCCTAGAGGCTCGTGTTCCAGCACCTCAATCTTTTGACGAGCCTATGCCTGTTCGTTACTCCACTCTTTCCCTTTCCAGCCTCATGAACCCCTGCGACTGTCGCAACACCGGCTCATGCACTTGCTGTTCCGACCAGCATCAGCGCAACGCACCGGTTTCACCAAAGCAGCGTGATGCTGCCCTTGGACACTGCGACCCTCGAAGCTGCTCCTGCTCCGGCCCTTCTTGTCCTCAGGCGAAAGGCGCTGCTCTCACCCACGAGCAGCATTCCGTCAGTGCTTCGCAAGATCATGTGTCGTCGAAGATGACCGCATCAGCTGGCTGCTGCTCTAGCAAAGACCCTTCTGCATCATCAGCGCCGAGCATCGAACTTCTCTTGCAAGCCGTCGACATGTCGACCGAGTTTGTTCCACCCCCCTGTGGCTGTGGCGATAATTGCCGCTGTGCTCGATGTCTTTCGAGGTCAGATGCTGCTGCCGCCTGCTCCTCCTCCATCACCACCACCACCACCACCAATGTGCGTCAGCACACCGCAGCTGATCGAGCGTCCAGCACCATCACCGCCTCCTCCAATGCCAGCCCTCGCACCCCGCCCGCAACGCTTCCTACCCTCTCCACCTGCACACCGACCGCGACCGGTGCCGATGCTGGATGCGATGATTGCGCAGCATGCGACCTCGCTCTCGAACGTCCTTCTGGCATCGGCGCGGTGGATAGCTGGATGGAGAAACACTCTCGACACCGCTCGCCATCTACCGAGAGTCGCACTGTGGCTAGCGGTAGTACCAGTCGCACCAGCTCGCGTGCTGAGCAGGCATCTGCTGTTTTCGCCCCTACCTCTGTGCCCACTCTCCATGGCGGCCTTCTCACTTCTGAGCCAAGCCAGAATCAGCAGATGGTTGAAGGAGACGACGAGGTTAGGGCAGAGTTAGTCCTCATCCACCCAAAGTGTGCTGATTGTTTGCAAGTCGTCAGGAACAAAGGCGTAGGTGTTCTGAGTGCCGCACCGTCTGTCAACACGAAATGAATTCATTCGTGAGTGTTGGTATGTATTTATATTATTTTAATACCCAGCCCCTTTTGTTATTCATAATCTTTCTGTAATATGACCTCTTGGTTTTCTCATGCGTTTTAAGGTATATGCTCACTTTTTGTTGTTGGTGCAAACGGTGTGATGGATTGTGATGAGGCGAGAGAGATATGGTGATGAAAAGAATTGGCTGAACCCCCCCTCCATAAAAAAAAAGAGAGAAAAAAAAAGGGAAAAATTGGAGCAACTTTGGGATTGCCGCGTGGTGCCCTAGCGCAGTACTGAGTAGGTGATACCTTGCTTGACTGTGTAGATGGGACGGGATGCGGTGTGTTTTCCAGGGCAGATTTCATGGATTTTTTTTTTTCATATCAGGATGAGGTTCTTTTGACAATACAAGTATAAGTATTCGAATGCCTTTTCGTTGGACAAGCATTGATCGTGATCACCTGGGATTACATGCTGTGGTGTTGTGACAAAAGTTGTATCCACATCATGAATTACTTGTGATGTGAAAAATCGTAATGAACCATGTATTAATCGTGTCAATCATGCTTCTTCTTCTTTTTGTTGTTGTTGTTCTTCTTCTTTTGCTTAAGTTGATCACCTTCCAAATCATCCCATTTGGATTTCTTGGGTTTTGACTTGCTCGTCTGCTCAAGAATCGCCTGCTCATCCACGTTTTCCTCGCCTACCACTACTGCGATCTTACTCTTCTCCATTTGCAAATCCGTACCTGCAGTCGTGGGACCAGCAACAACAGACGCACAGGGGCGGTCCATGATTGATGTACCGAGTCGCTCAGGGTCAACTTCAGCCGAGGCTGTGTCAGTTGCGTCCAAATGTTCCAAATCCGTGACAAAGTAAGAGCGATCTGCATCCGGTGGTGACTCACTCTGGTTTGTTACAGCTTTAACAGTCTCGACCACCGCTTCTGGTGGTGCTGGTGCTGGTGGTGATGGTGAAGGTGGTGGCGTCGAAGAGCGACGAACAGCTTCAGGAGCAACGACAGGTAGTGAAGAGACCAGTCCATCTTTGTCCAGGTCCTCTTTGGTCTCGACGATACCTTCCCATCCACCAACATCCGGAAAAATGTCTTGTTCGTCTCCGTCACTTTTTTCTTCCACTGGTGAAGGTCTCGAAGCTGGCTCGTTATCGACGTTCGAGCTCGAGACGGGGTTTTGTCTGGGTTGTTCTTCCTCATGAAGCGTGCGGCTCTTAGCGTTTGGTTCGGATCTCGGGGCAGCAGAATCGTTGAATGGGGATCGAATATCTCGTGCCGTGATCTCATTGGCTTTAGTATCTGCCGCTTTCACCGGCGCTGCGAGACGTTTTGAAATTTGTTCGCTCGAGTTGTTCTGCTCTTCCGCCACTTCTGTTGGTATCGGTTGCTGAGGTTGCGTGCCATCGATGGTTGAAGTGTGCTTCTTTTTCCGCCGCATGCGCTTTCCATTCACCCACTTGTATTCTGCCGTATCCTCACGTGGTTTCTCTGCAGATATTGCGATGGGCTTGAAACCAATTGGCTTGAAACCGCTATTGACACTCTCATGTTTCGTCGCGGTAGACCGCTTGCCCTCCTTCCGTCGTTTTATGGCCTCGATGATGTCATCTCTGCTTCTTTTGGTTCCCCTATTATCTTCGCCTTGCTCACTGGTACTTTGTCTCTCTGTTCTTGCCTCCAAATACGCCGACTCCAAATCATCGCTTTCAGCCACACCTCCATTCTCCTTTTGTAGCTTTGCCTTGTTCTGCGCAAGTAACGCCCAATCCAAGCCTTTGACGAGTACGGAGTACTTTGGGTCACCACCAACGCTACTGATGGTATCTCTTAGCCTGTGCCTCTCTTCCTCGCTCTGTGCTGCTGCTAGACGCTCCTCAAACTCTCGATGAAGCTCTTCTACTTGGGCGAATTCAGAGTGCAACGAGTTGCCTGTTCGACGAGCTGCTGCTCGATCGATGTAGGATTCATTCGAATTGTTTGTGAATGTGATTTTGAGAGGTTTGAGGTCGGACGGCTTGGTGCTCGAAGCGGAAGAAGAAGATGAGGCGTTGAGGTTGCGCTTGTGATGAGCCTTGCCAAAGACTCGGTTGGAAGAGTTTGAGGAGGAGGGGTTAGTGCTAGGGCCTGCGACGGCAGATGAAGACGAGACTAATTTTCGAAATGCGTCCTGATCCATCTTGTTGACCGATGCTGCAGCCTTGGCAGCTTGTGCAGGATGGGATAGAAAGCGTTATGGCGATCAGGGTAACATGGGTGGAACAAGTTGATACCTCAAATCCTCCACTTAAATGTTGTAGCTGCAGCCAAAAAAAAAAAAAAGTCGAGATTTATGACCGTGTTTTAGGGTAAATAAAATGTATGTGGATATTTTAATTTTGTAGTAACTAAAAATGAATCGCATGAGAGTGCAATGATAATAAATTGTGGATTTGCATGACTCGGGCAATTGTTCGGCAAAGACAATAGCAGCACATCAACCACACTTTAAAAAGAATACAAAAAAGGGAAAAAATAAAACTCTCTCTTGGAAGTCTCTCTGATGCTTAAAATCGGATAAGGAATTCGACGCCATTTTGTACCATTTGTTCTACAAATTGTTTCCCATATTCTTGACTGTACTCACTCGTCCTTGCTCTCTATATTCTACTACAATCACTCGGTTTGATCCACACAAATCACACACAAGCCAGCTTGGGACCATTGCAAATATAGTCAAGAGTCAAGATGGCAGCCAATGTCCCTGATCCAACCAGGATTCTAAGCATCCAGTCCCATGTCGTTTCGGGCTATGTCGGCAACCGTTCGGCCACCTTTCCCCTTCAACTGCTCGGCTGGGATGTGGATGTAACAAACACGGTTCAGTTCTCCAATCATACCGGCTACGGTCGTTGGGGAGGTCTTCGTTTTGATGCCGAGCATCTCTCTGACATCTTTTCTGCGCTTCAGAACAATGGCCTTCTCCGCTACTCACGAATGCTCACTGGATACATGCCCAGTGCTGATGTGGTCAAAGTCGTCTTGCACCTGGTCAAGAAGCTTCGAACTAGGCAAGGAGCAGAGCAAGAAGGCGGACTGATATACCTCTTGGATCCAGTCATGGGCGATATGGGCAGAGGAATGTACGTAGCTCCCGAAGTGCTTCCCATTTATCAAGAGATGCTGCAATATTCCACCATCATTACACCAAACCAGTTCGAAGCGCAGGCATTGACGGGAATTCAAGTTGTAGATCTTACAAGTTTGAAGCAGCTCATTTTCACTCTGCACAAACGCCACAAGGTACCCCACGTCATCATCACAAGTGTAGAGCTGCCAGATTCAGATTTGCACAAGATCGGAGCGCACAGAAATTTGCCCGATGGTCAATTGGCTATGCTACAAGTCGGCTCATCTTGCGAGATCGCGCTCGATGCCAGTGGGCAGAGGAAAGAACCGAACGTGGAGTTGGCAGATTTGCAGATTTGGTTCATCCAATTCCCAGAAGTGCAAGGATACTTTTCGGGCGTCGGTGACATGTTTGCAGCATTGACACTAGGACGCTTCAACCCAGATTCAAACCAAGATGGAACAGTACACACCAACGCCTCGAAGGATAACAAGCCTTTGACGCCAATCGCAAAGGCGAGCGAAATGGCTATCGCCAGTCTTCAAGGCATCCTCAGTAATACATGCAAAGTCATCGATGCTTTAGAGAGAGACTTTCCAATACAGACCAAAGCAGACGAGGCTCAGCAAAAGGTGGACACAATGAGAAGGAGAGAGCTCAGAGTGGTGCAGAGTAAAAACGAAATCGAGTCGCCGACAATTGTATATCGAGCAAAGTGGATCAGCGCTTAGTTGTTGTTTCGTGTAGCCAGATCCATTCACGTACAAGCACCAAGCTTGTGCATAAATCTCGTGGTAGTTTTGATGAGTGTGATACGCCTCTCAGACCGCAGAAAAGAGTATTTGGAGCAAGCTATTTCGACAACAACGGCCGGGACACATCAACAGGTAGCAGGTCACCTTGCCCTGTACAGCAATTCATTCATCAAATTTGTGTTGGGTGCCGACTGCGTACACTAGGCGTGTTAAGAGGGCATGACAATTCACACGACGCATGCAATAGCATACGTATCAAAGATGCCGTAGCGGGAAGAATTGCGTTGTATCTCATCGCATTCTAGCTGAGCCGAACGTTGGAATCGTTATTCGAGATGATGCGTATTGCTAATATGTGCCTGATTTCGACGGCACACGAGCCAAGGTCTGTCTACATGGAATCCAAAGCGTGGTCTTGTTTTTACTACAACGTTCCTGATCCTCTCCTAAGAGAAGCTGGAAATGAACTTCTTCTCCGCCTCAGCCACTGCCTTCTTGAAATCTTCCGCCTCCTTCCAACAATCGAGCGTCCTGTCCGGTTGTGACTTGTAGCACTTGACCAGTGCCTCCTGAGCGTCCTTGACACCGGCGTAGTTGGAAATGTCCTTTTGCTTGTTGTACTTGTCGATCTTTGACCTAAGCTGATCCAGTTCTTGACGAAGCACGTTGGAGTTCTTGCCTTCGGATTGACCCTTGTACTTGGACTCTTTGGCGAGGTTCTCCTTTTCGATGGCCTTTTCGATTTCGGATCGGACTTCGGCCTCTTCTTTGCGTAAGCGTTCCAGTTCTGACTTGATCTTTTGCTGGATCGACGTGTCCAGAGTTGCTTGTCGCGAAGCGTCAGGACCCTCGACCTTGTCCAAAGTCGACTTGTCAAGTTGGTTGAGGAGCGAGCGTCCGAACTGTGCACGTCATAGCGGGACATCATCAATGGTTGAATTAGCAACGATTGCTCAAGGAGCGGTTCAGTATTGCGATGAATCGCAAACGAAAAAGAAGAGATTTGAGGGAGATGCTTACCTGAAGGTGATGCGCCTGCTTGTCCTCGGGAGCTGGCGTTGTCGACGCAGGTGCGTTCTGTTTGGAAGCCGCAGCGCCCATGTCTGCAACTGTATATATCTAGCGATTGAAGGAGCGGGTTGAATGGATTTGTTGATGGAGAGCTCGCCGATCAAAGATTCTGCTGATGCGATGAGGCTTGGACAATGTTGTGGATGTGTTGCGACGACGATAGGTTGCGAGCTCAACAAAGTGGAGCAAAGAGAGAAAAAGAGAGAGAACGAGGAGAGAAAGAGAGCAGTACGGTCGGATTCGGAAGAATTCACACACGATTTCTGTGGTGCAAGCAAGTTAGCAGCCAACAGCAATTAAGTTAGCGCTGCACTCTGGCATTCTCACCATCGGAAGTCACAAAGTCACTTTGAATCTCTTGTCTTTACGAAATCACGTGGCCAAAGTCCAACAATCGGATCACGATCTGGAAATCGGGAG